TGGATCTCAGCACCCATTGTAGTGCTTTCCCCTTAGCAAGCACTGAATAGATGTTTGTAGGCCTAAGATGAATTAATAAATGGGCAGCTTGATTTTTGTAGATTCACAACCAGTGCATTTTTTTATTAAGGTATTATTGATATACAATCACATGACCAACATTGTGGTTACTAGATTCCCCCCATTATCAGGTCCCCACCACATACCCCATTACAGTCACTGTCCATCAGCATACTAAGATGCTATAGAGTCACTACTTGTCTTCTCTGTGATATTCTGCCTTCCCTGTGCCCCCCCTACATTATGTGTGCTAATCGTAATGCCCCTTAATGCCCTTCTCTTTCCCTTCCCACCCATCCTCCCCAGTCCTTTTCTCTTTGGCAACTGTTAGTCCTTTCTTGGGTTCTGTGAGTCTGCTGCTGTTTTGTTCCTTCACTTTTTGCTTTGTTGTTATATTCCACAGTTGAGTGAAATCATTTGATACTTGTCTTTCTCTGCCTGACTTATTTCACTGAGCATAATACCCTCTAGCTCCACCCATGTGGTCACAACCAATGTATTTTTAAGGCTGGGGTTGATAACATAGGATTGTGCCACCTATGTGCTGGGTGCTTGTAGGATCTACAGAGAAGATAAAGGTAAACCAGCTCTAGTTCTTGTCCTCAAGGAGCTGATAGTCATGGAGCACAGAGATACAGACTTTTCCTACTGAAGTGTGATAAGATCTATAGGAATAAATCAAGTATTATGGAATACAGAAGGAGCAATTCATTTCAATCTGGGACTTGTGGAAGTCTCCAGGGTTATTTTGAGCAGGGCATTACAGGATGAATCTAATTTCAGCATGTGGAGAAGAGGGGCATTTCAGGCAAGGAAATGGCCAAGCAAAGGCATGAAGACATTATTATTCAGAGCATTATTATTAAAGAGCATCTAGGAAGCATGAAAAGCAGATTTTAGAATGCTTTAATGAGCTCACTAATAGACCAGTTGGGAGAAAGACTAGAACATCTGTCAGGAAAAGAGGGTGTATCAGTCAGGACAGGCTGCTATGCTGTGGTAACAAACAACCCCGATATTTTAGTTGCTTATAACAAAGGTTTATTTCTTACCCACATTACATATGTATTGTGGGTTACCTGGAGTCTTGGCATCCTGTCAACTCAGGATGACAGAGAAGTTACCAACTTGAGTGTAGTGTAGGTAATCACTGAGGCAGAGGGAAAGTGAACTCTACATGTAGAGTCTCCAGTAATTAAATGTCTGCTGGAGCTCATCACTTCTGGTTACAACTGATAGTCTGGAACTGGTCATGTGACTCTGTCAGACACAGGTGACCAGGAATATCTTCCCACCAAGATGCCAGAAGGTGAGGAGCCAGAACCATCTGGTGAGAAGCACTAATGGTTACCCCAGATGGCAAGACTAACTCCACTTGAGAGGGTAGGTCATGGGCATACAGTTCCTTCTCTGAAGGGAATGGTCATGGTGGCAGATTGGTGTGTGTTTGGGAGATATAGTGTGCAAGTATATCTGGGGCAAAGGAGGCCTGTCTCCTTTTCAAAGATTTTACAGTTCTTTATTATGTTACATTTAGCTAATCAGTACACCTGACTACACATGGTCTTTCCTCATCTGTACTTCCTACAGTGTATTTAGTGTCTCCCTTCCTCACTGCCTCCTATTATTTATTTTAAATGAAACTTTTATTTTGGATTAATTTTATATTCACAGCAAAGTTGCAAAGATAGAACAGATTGCTCCCATATGCCCCTCACCCGGTTTCAGACAATATCCCCTGATGTTGTCATCTTACATTTCTGTGGTACTTCTATAGGTTTCAGGTTTTAAACCCCTTGAGGACTACATCACGCCTGACCTAATATTTGCCTGGTGTTTCTCAGAGGATTGTGGCTCGTAGTGTTTTCTGTTGGTTGTAGACATGTCTGGGCTTGTCCAGAGGCCAGTAAGGCCAGCCTTCCTGGCATCTATGAACAGGAAGGATTGAGGGGCACTTTGGGAATGAGAGAGAATGGAGGCAGAGGTGCCCAAACAGCTGGTTTACAGGCCATGGGGTGGTGTTGGAAGGAGGCTTCTGAGCTCAGCAGGAAGTGTGCGGTTCAAGAGCTCTCTTTCTCCTGGCTCACTGACCCAGGGGAGGGAGGTGGTTATATGACAGAGTCAGAATCTAACTCTGTGGAGGACAATGAGCACAAAGGCGGCAGTGCTCTGGGAGGCAGAACTCAGTCGGCCATGGAAGCAGCGTGGGTGAGAAGGCATGCACGTCTGAGATGCAACAGGCAGCACTGCCTGAGCAGAGGGCCAGGCCCACTCTTGTCAGGACAGAGCGGAGTTCCAGGGCCATCGCTGTGGCAGGAGGCAGACTCCAAACGGGAGTCCAGAAGATGACATTCTCTAACTCAGTGTGAGCATGTTCTGGGGACAGCCCGGGAAGGAGCTGGGTGGAGGTGGTAGTGTTACGGGGTTACAAGCTTCCCCCGGATTCTGTGTTGCTGCTGTCTTTGGGACCCTCTAGGTGGTATAGATGGGAAAATACAGGTGACTTTTGTGTTGGTGTAACTCTGGGGGTGGAGGGTAGGCAGAATCTGTTTCCTAGCCCAAGACAAATTACCTTTGAACCGAAATCAGTCAAAGGGAGAAATAATGGGTGACAAACCCCTTTATTGCTTACAAGCAGTCATCCACTTCTGCTTCCCCGTATCTCTCATGACCTGCCTGAAAAAAGAGACCCCACCCCACCTTTCCAGTCCAAATATATCCTTGCTCCCCCTTGTAATCACCCATTGACATGGAGATGCACCAAGGCCAGGTGAGAGATTCTGGAAATATTGCAATTTTACCCACAGCTGGGTTCTGGATACTCTGTAAATATTGTTGACTCACTTCCCATCACCCTCTCATGTGAGGGAAACATCTCATGTGAAGGAAAGTCCCCAGAGGTCAGGGTCCAGAGAGATGAGCGTTATTTTGGCCCAGGCTCCTCAAAGATGCAGTTCACCCATTTGCATCAACTGGGCACCTGATGGCTGTTACTGGACACTGGTGTTCCGACCACAAGGGGCTTTCATGCAGTAAGGGAACACCAGGCCCCACCCAAAAGGAGGAGCTCAGGAGGTGGGAAGGTTTGATGAGCGCCACCCTCAGGAATGGAAGTAGAGATCCAGAGCTTTCAGGAGCTTCCAGGGACTATCCCAGAAAGGAGTCAGATCAAGAGCCTAAGAATTTGGTGAATTCTGTTTATTTTAGATTTTCTGTGTTGTTGTCTTTTGCTTAGTGAAGCTGTGAGCTTGTCTTTGGGGATAGCGAGGGGCTGGGACACAAACACATTCTCAGAAGGAGAGCCTGTAGGGTAAGCAGTGGAACAGCAGGTGAAAGAAAAGAACTAGCCTAGAGGCTCTTCTTTCTATGCATGAGAAGAGCTGTGTTGGTCTGGGCCAACTCAGTCACAGCTGGAGCCTCTCTATCTGCTCCCAGCCTATTCAGTCTAATGAGTTATACCATCTTGGTCAAGGGCATCACCATCTCCTGGTATCTCAGGCTAGAAAGCTGAGTTACTTTTGCCATGTGCCCTTCAGTCCACAATGGATAAACTTTTACTGAGGGTCAAAGTGCTTTACAGGTATTTTTGAATTTACTCCTCATAATAATCCTGTGAGATGGTTATTATTACTCTTATTTTTCAAATGGCAAAACCAAGGCTAGCAGATGGGGTAACTGATTCAAACTTGCAATGGGTATGTCAGATGTCAGAAGTCCCATCTTTGGACAACCCCATGCTGCTTCTTAGTGTTTATCCTCCTAAGAGATTGTTTCTCTAGAATGGTTTCAACAGCCTGCCTCAGAGTCACCTGTGTTGTCATTAGAAAGAATCATGGACAGAGTCCAGACCCGTGGAATCAGAGTCTCTGAAGGGGAGCCCAGTTGCCTATGTAGCAAGTTCCTCAGATGATTCTGACGTCATTCATGCCTAAGACCCACTCCTGTGGCCTTAGGAGTGACGGGCATCCTGAGACTGGTCTGATTTCTAGGATTGACCTCAACATTTTTGCCATGTGCTCTGTATCCGATTGTAAGGGAGTGAAACAGATGAACCATGGATTGACATTTCAGGGCTGCCTCTTTTTAAGCAAGGAGGGTCAGGACTAGAGCTACAGGGCTACCCAGACAAGACACTGGTCACCAGGGTGATGGGCTCTGTACCCTCTGGAGACCATTTTTGCTAGCCATTGTCACTGTTTAGAAAAGATGTTACGTATGCTCCATTTGGGCTTTGGGGATCGTTTCAGAGCAAACTCTGGTCAACGGATGTGGCTATGAAATCAGCTACTACCATTGATTGTTTACTATCTGTTTGGTGCTATGTGGTTGCAAAGAGGTTTGCATGTATTATTTAACAAAGCAATGAGGTGGATATTACTGTTTTCTCATTTGGTTGATAATAGAAACTGAGGTTTGGAGAAAAGCTTGAGTCACTTGTTTAAGGTCACATGGTTCATAAGTACTGGAGAATTGAAATCCAGCTCATAGTACGTCCTGTTTAGTGGCCATTTGACTGTGCTGCAGGATTCTGGGTCTTGGGCTCAGTGAGGTCAACGGTCTTCTGATAGTTCTGGCTGAATGGATCAACCCACCTCTCAGAAATTTGGCACTTATATTTTATTGAGTCCAAGGCTCTACTAGATGCTGCAGGGACCCTCACACAATAAGGAGAGATGCTCCCAGAATTTCACAGTGTAGTAAAGAAAATAACTCATATGTAAGAAACTGTAATAACTCAAATGGGCTTGCTGGGAATTTTGCCCTGTGTGTGTGAGATTATGTGTGTGAGTGTGAGTGTATTTGTGTGTGTGTGTGCATGTAATGGGAGAAAAGAAGGCAGTGCTGAGGGGACGTGGGTTGGGGAAGTGATGGGGCTCTGGAACCTGGTTCAGAGGGCATGGGGAACTCAGCTGCCTGCCTGGCTGGTAAGATAGGGGGTTCTATGGGGAAGATATTCAAAGTCAAGATGTAGCCCATTAGACTCTCTGGGGAGCTTTTAAAAATACCAAATGCCTGGGCCATACCTAAAGAGATTCATTTAGTTGGGCCAAGCTGGGGACTGGAGACAGACAAGGAGATTTTAGAAGCCTCCTTTGTGATTCTAATGAATATCTGGACAGAGAAGCAGACAAGTGCATGCTTTTCCAGCATTTCCTGGGCCCCCTGTTTTGAATCCAAGCCACAGATCTTTCAACATACTCGCTGCTGGGCCTCCTTGTTCTCCCCTTGGTGTGACCGAGGGGTCAGATGACCACGTATGTGCCTCTAGGAGAAGCCGCCACCTGTTGTGGTAAATTTGGTGTGATTTCATCATCTCTCTGCCCTATGTATTTTCAGTATCTTATAACTACATCTGTACGGATGATCTGTTGTTTTCCACCTTGAAGCAGCCTGTGCAGTCACGGGGGCATGAGCTGCGGTGTTGCTGGGCTTCTGCCCTGTAAATACGGCTGGGTGAGTTTATTTATAGGAAATTACAATGATTACCTTTGATTGTTATTGAGCAGAGCAGGTTTTCTCGTGTCTCATCTTTCCTAAACTTGTCGCTGGGGAAAGACTTTCAAATCAATCCCTTTTGTAAAGCCCAAATGAGTCCAACCCACTTCAGGGACAATCCCCCTATGTGGAAGCTTCAGTGAGATCTGAGGAAATAGTCAGAAATCTCCCCAGAGTGATTAGAAAGATGGAAAAGATGGGAGAGAAGAGCTCTGGAGATGTATTTGGCAGTGCATTAAGGCAGTGGTCTTCGATCTTGCCTGCATAATTAGAATCTTCCAGGGAGCTTAAATATCTAAAACAAAGACAACAAAAAACCCAGGTCCCAGCCTGCACCTTGCAATAGTTGAATAAGAGTCTCTGGGACACAGGACCTGGCATCAGTATTTTTTAAAGCTTCTCAGATGATTGCAATGTGCAGCCAAGGTTAAGAACAAGTTCGTGAAGGGATAAGAGAGGCTTAGTAAATAAGAGGGTGCCCCAGAAAGGTGCAAGACCCAAAGAAGAGGAAAAAGGCAACGTCAGAGAGGAGTCACAGACAGCAGCTTTGGAATGTAACGGTTAAGACCAGCCTGTTCCAAGAACTCAGCTTAGCCTTAAGAAACCAATGGCCAATCTCCAAACATCCTTGCAATCCCCAGTTCATGAGCCATTTGCATCACGAGGCCCAGGGTACAAGGGAGGGCTGATAATGAGAGCAGCACCCACCTCTTCTGTGCCTTGTGGCCCAGAGATGAGGGGAGACAGGACTTCAAAACTACCCCAGTTCTCTACATGGACAATGATCCAAATGGATAATTGCCAAAGAGGGTTAGGAAAGTGCCGGGCATGGGGAGGGTGTGATTGCTCTTCAGAGGTCAGGCTAGGAGAGTCCTTGCTTCTGCTCTGTGGTTCTGCAAGAGGAGCAGACTAATAAAGTGACACAGACAGGACACGAATCCATCGTCCAAGGTCTTAGGTGAGCAAGTGTGGCCTGTTGGGTCAGGATATGGGCAAGCAGCTGGGAACACCTTAAAACAAGTTTTATTTTGAGATAGTTTCAAACTTGCAAAAGAGTTGTGAAGAATACTACGAAGAACTGTCACAGCTTTTGCCCAGATTTCCTAATTGTTAACTTGTAATCACATTTGCTTTATCACTCCCTCCCTCTTTCTAGATGTATATATATTTTCTGAACCACCTAGGTTCAGAAAACATCTGACCTCTAAACACTTCTGCGCACGTTTCCTGTGAAGAAGGACACTGTCTCACATGACCCCAGGACTGTGTAAATAAACAAAAACCCACCAAATAAAAAAAGCAAAGGCCATTTTTCTGAGCTTACTATATAGCAAGGGGGTTGGCCACCATCACCTGAATTTTGACCAGGACTCAAAGGCAGGGAGAAGATGGGAGAGCTTTATAGTGAGAAAAGGGCAGGCTCTGGGTATACCCTGATCGGAGGCCGTGGGCATGAGGAACCTGGAGCCAGGCGAACTAGAAGCAGGGGATTCCTGCAATTCGTTAGGGGTACATGTCTGACTTTTTCTGGTTGGTCCTAAGTTAGAAGCAGGGACAAAAATTAGGGAAGCTGTCAATTATTAATCAAGTCCTGGCCACTTGGGGCTAATTGTTACAGAAGTTATTGTTCAGTTTCCTGGATTATCCCTAAAGATGACAATCTGGCTTCTTGCAAGGCTGAACTGATAGCACACTGGCTTCCTGGGCTGCTTACTGTAGATAAAGGTTGGTTTACCGGGCAGGTTGCTGTAGGTTGTGGGACAAAGTTCTATTTTTATATATGATCTGGCCATTGCCATTTGCATATTCAGTATTGTAGTGCAATGATCAAGTTCAGATTTAACTTTGGGGTAAAACATTGTTATCTTATATACACTCCATATTCAAATCTTGCCAGGTGCCCATATCACATGTTTTATGGCAATCCTTCCCCACCCCTACTTCCCTTTAGCCCTTCATCCTCCTTCCAAAATGCAACAGAGGGTCCTGCACTGCCTTCTCCGGTCACGCCTCTTTAACCTCCTTTACTCTGGAAGAGTTCCTCAGCCTTTTTTGCCTCTCACAGCACTAACTTTTTTGAAGCACACAGGCCAGTGGTTTGTGGTGGGAAAACTGTAGAAGGCATGCATATATTCCAACTGACTGTGAAAACGTATCCACTGCCAGTGGCCCTCCAGGCCTTGCTCCTTGAGTCCTGTCCTAGAGACTCTGGGAATTGTTTGGGTTATGCAGCTCAGGTAACCAGATCATCAGCCCTTCAGCAAGGACACGGAAAGTCACGTATCCATGCAGGACAGAGGAGAAGCTTGTAAACAGAGACTGGTACCCGCGGTCATGCTCTTTAGCTGCTAATCCTTTGCAAGGACAAGAGAGTTTGTGAAACATGTTTTGTTTCCCTTTGTGGAAATATGTTCTTTCATTAACTCAGCTTCCCTCTGCATTTTACATTCACAGACATGGGCTTTTTTTCTTTTCCTTCTTACTTTTCCTCGCTGAATCCTTCTCACCCCAATTTCCCACCTCTACTAGGATGCCAGAAACATTTTCCAGGCCCTGAGTGGTGAGGGTCAGGGGCTATTCCTGCAGGATGGGGCATGATGGCCTCCGTTTGTCCAAGGATGGTTAAAATTGTGATCTTTAAGAACATCAGGGACACAGAGAAGGTTTTGTTCTGGCCTGACTAGCTTTGGGGACAGGACTGCCCCTCCGAAAACATTCATCTCTCAGTCACTCCAAGCTGCTGTCAAAGAGTGATTTCTGTACCTGTCAACAACCTGGATCATAGTTAAAATCTCTTCTATCTTCACCCCTCTTAATACACCAAGCAATAACAAGTTTTCATTTACGGGGGACTGGACTAAAATAAGTTTCCTCTGTGTAGTGGTTGAGATTATGGTCTTTGGTGTCCAATTGCTTAAATCCTGTCTTTACTATCTAACCATGTGTCCCTGGGCACAATGCTTAACCTCAGATTCCTTAGCAGTGAAATGGGGCAAAATTAGCTGTTTTATGGGGTCCGAGTGACAGTTCAGTGTTATGGTAAATGATGACATTTAGCACAATGGTAGGCAAATAATAGGCCCTCCTTGTTACCCTGCTTATCCCTTAGCAGAAAGTTGAAATCCCCTTGCTCAAGTCCATCTGCAGTGGCCGTGGTGAGAGGAGGGTGGGTTTTGGTGTCGTCAGGTGTGGGTTTAAATCCTGGCTGTGCCCCTCACAGCCCCCATCTTCTCAATCTTTCCTTTGTCACCCTATTTAAATTGCTGATCTCTTGTGGCATCCTTTAGGACCTGTGGGAAAATGAGCGAGCTAAGCTGGAAGGCTCATTTGAGCTGAGGGGTAGTGAATAGTTGTTGATTGATGTGTCAGTATTTTCAGGGAATTTATTTGTATTTTAAACAGAGGCCTTCTATCTTGGAATCCTAGATATTTCTAAGGTTTGTACTCCTTGTTTTCCTGTGAAGGTCAAGACCCCGCAGGTAGCAGCAGAATCCCCATTCAGGTCATCTGATTTCCAGTCCAGAGTTCTCCCTTTGAAAACAGGATCATGATGGGATCTGGGGTTCCAAGGTAGGCAAGCTGAGAAAATGGCTTTGGTCAGATGGATAGATGCAGGGCCTCCTTCTCCATATCAAGCCGGGGCTGAGGGCTGTGATGTGCCTTGAATGGAAGCCCTTACCCACTCCAAATGTGCCACAAAAATCTTCCAGTTACAGGGAGACTGGGGTGGCAGGTTTCAGATTTCCAGATTTCCATTTGATTTTTAAGGTGGTTTTATTTTCCACATTTAAAAAATAAGTTTTGTTAGTTTGCACAGGACAGGATAGATTCTAAGTTACAGGAAAGGCCATTTTTATTCCCAAATCCAGACAGATTTGATTACACCCTCATAGTGAACGAGCTCTTCTTTCCTGAGGGTTCATCTCAGGGACCCAAGATGGCGCCTGCGACTTCTCTGAGCCTTCCTGCGTGCCTGGCTGGATGAAGGGGCCAGGCATTTCTTTCACGTCACTCTCACGTCACTGCCAGTGAGCTGAAAGCATCAAGTACTAGTTGCCCTGAGGGACTGCTTCTTTGAGGTCACTATAAGTTGAAAAACTGAAATGTGAAGGATAATAATAAAATTACCACCTATTAGTGTTGTGGAAAGAATGAATTAATCGTTCATCAGATTGGTGAGGTCTGGGAACAGTCCAAAGGGAATGGAGAATGGGAAGGATATGTTTTGATGGAGGGAGTAGGTTGATTAAAGAAAGATTGAAGAACACTTCTAGAGCTTAAGTTAATTCCTAAAAAAAGCCACTTCTTTGTGGGGAACCTTAGTTTGGGGAACAACCGAGGAACAGAAGGGCAATAGAAGATAGAGGCTAAAGTAAGGAAAGAAGTATTGCTAAAAACAGAGGTGGAGGAAGGTTGCTCAAGTAAATTTCAGTTGCTTTCTAAGTTTGCTAGCATTGACTCCATATTTGAAAACTCCAGGCTTGTTACTTTGAGACCTATTAAATGCCCACTGATACAGTATTTGCCTCTTTGGACTGACTGTGGGAAGAGGTGAGTACTCCACCAACTTAGTTTACATGTATTTTTCACCCCTCTTTCTAGTTCCCAAATAAACCTTCAAGCAGGAAAGAACACACAGACCTTGACCCAATTTGTGTCTAACTAAAGCAGGACTGTGGGAGTCCAGTGCCTATAAATCAGTTTTCTAATCTGAACTCCTCAAAGAAAATCTAACCCCCAGACAGTCCCCTCAGCCAGAGTTCATACACACTGACCAGCCCTTTGAAATTCTGTCTGCAGATAATGGTATTCACTGCCAGCCTGTCTTACTGAGAGAATCCTGTTGTCTGTGATACAATCCAGAAGAATTCCCAAGGTGGCTGATGAGATTTGCCTGATTTGCCTTTTGGAGGAAAAAAAATATAACAAGGGCTATAACACATTTCATATTACAGAGA